AATGGAACTGGGATAGAACTGGGACAGGACTGGGACAGGACTGGGATAGAACTGGGAATGGAACTGGGAATGGAACTGGGATAGAACTGGGACAGGACTGGGACAGGACTGGGACAGGACTGGGACAGGACTGGGATAGAACTGGGATAGAACTGGGAAAGAACTGGGAAATGGCCCCAGAACTCCCCCAAACAGCCCCAAATTCCCCCAAACGGCCCCAAAATTCCCCCAAACGGCCCCAAAATTCCCGAATTGGGATCCTGGATCTTTCCCTCTCTTTTCCCTCCCTCCGTGGGGTCCCTTCGCTGCCTCATCCCGGTTTTTTGCTCCTTCCTGGGAATTCCTGCCTGGCACCGCTGCCCCCTCATCCCTCCTGCACGATCCCATTCCTGCTCCGAGCCAGGTCCCGGGAATGTCACCCCCAGAGCCCTGGGATTGCTCCTGAGGGGGAGAAATGCGGGATTTTGCTGGGATTGCTCCTGGAAGCTCAGAATTCCACACCCAGAAAAAGTTGGGATTGCTCCTGGAATCTCAGAATTCCATGTCCAGAAAGCTGGGATTGCTCCTGAGGTGGAGAAATTCAGGATTTAGGCCAGGATTGCTCCCAGATGATCAGAATTCCATGCCCAGAAAGCTGGGATTAATTCCTCCTGAGGTGGAAAAATTCAGGATTTAGGCCGGGATTGCTCCTGGAAACTCAGAATTCCATACCCAGAAAGCTGGGATTGCTCCTGAGGTGGAGAAATGTGGGATTTAGGCCAGGATTGCTCCTGGAATGTCAGAATTCCATGCCCAGAAAGCTGGGATTGCTCCTGAGGTGGAGAAATTCAGGATTTTATTGGGATTGCTCCTGGAATGTCAGAATTCCATACCCAGAAAGCTGGGATTGCTCCTGAGGTGGAGAAATGCGGGATTTAGGCCGAGATTGCTCCTGGAAGCTCAGAATTCCATGTCCAGAAAGCTGGGATTGCTCCTGGAATCTCAGAATTCCATGCCCAGAAAGCTGGAATTAATTCCTCCTGAAACAGAAAAATGCAGGATTTTGTTGGGATTGCTCCTGGAATGTCAGAATTCCATGCCCAGAAAGCTGGGATTAATTCCTCCTGAGGTGGAGAAATGTGGGATTTAGGCCGAGATTGCTCCTGGAATCTCAGAACTCTATGCCCAGAAAGCTGGGATTGCTCCTGGAATGTCAGAATTCCATGCCCAGAAAAAGCTGGGATTGCTCCTGAGGTGGAGAAATGCGGGATTTTGTTGGGATTGCTCCTGGAAGAGAGATTTAGGCCGGGATTGCTCCTGGAATCTCAGAACTCTATGCCCAGAAAAAGTTGGGGTTGCTCATGGAAGACCGGAATTCCATGTCCAGAAAAAGCTGGAATTGCTCCTAGAATATCAGAATTCCATGCCCAGAAAGCTGGGATTGCTCCTGAGACAGAAAAATGCAGGATATAGGCCGGGATTGCTCCTGGATGATCAGAATTCCATGCCCAGAAAGCTGGGATTAATTCCTCCTGAGGTGGAGAAATTCAGGATTTAGGCCGGGATTGCTCCTGGAAGCTCAGAATTCCATGCCCAGAAAAAGCTGGAATTGCTCCTAGAATATCGGAATTCCATGTCCAGAAAGCTGGGATTGCTCCTGGAATGTCAGAATTCCATGCCCAGAAAGCTGGGATTGCTCCTGAGGTGGAAAAGTGCAGGATTTTGTTGGGATTGCTCCTGGAATCTCAGAATTCCACGTCCAGAAAGCTGGGATTGCTCCTGAGGTGGAAAAGCAGCCGGATTTGGGCCGGGATTGGCCGGGGGGATGTTCCTCTTCCTCTTGGGAATGTCCCTCCCTGAGCTCTGCATTCCCGAATCCCATCCCTGGATCCCCCCAATCCCTTGGATCCCTCGGATTTCCGGGGGAACGGGATTTTGTGTTTTCTGGGATTGTTGTGAATAAATTGGTGCAAAACTGGTGGGTTTTTTGTGCTGAATTTCCCGGGAATTCTGGTCCCTCTGGAGCTGCTTCATCCCCTGAAAACCCCAAATCCTTATCCCAAAGAAACCCTTATCCCAAAAAATAGGAGCCGGGCAGGGAGCAGGGAATTCCCCAGGAATGGCCTGGAGCTGTGCCAGGGCAGGTTTAGGTTGGATTTTGGGAAAAGGTTC